TCCGTAACTTCTATTATGCTTATGTCTTATTAAAAAAAAAAAGATAATCCACTCTTAATCAAGATTAGACAAAGCTCTGATATTGTAGGTGTACTCTTGTCAATCTGTCAAGGATAAGAATATGATAAAGACAAATAAACAATTGAGACTTCTCTCAAAGAAAGATGACAAAATAGTAATAACTTGATATATATATATATATATATATATATATATATATATATATATATATAAAGAAAGAAACTGGAATGGCTATTGCCAAAAGTCAAGAAAACTAGAGACCCTTGAAACTAGACTGGAAGCAAGAAAGGAGTTGACAAGAGTGAAGAAGGCTTCACTCTTGTCTCTATATATATTATCTAACTAGGAGCTGCATGGCGATATTCTATAGGACCTTCAATATGTGTTCACTTTGTAGGACACATGCCTTGACTTACAAGGCAAGTTTTTCTACGTGTGGGCCACATAGTTACCTTGGTCTTCAAGTTAACAACATGTGTGGTACATGGCCAACTTGTTGATCACGTTTCTAATCCAAAAAGTCAATTAAAGACACCTATAAAGTCAAAGCAGTATCTATGAAGCTTCTATATCAAATATTATAGAATTAACTTACTTTTACCTATTTATACATGTAATTATTGGCTTACATGTGTATGTCCGTGACATCCACTCACTTCTAAACAAGACAAAAATAAAATATTAGCACTCTTGTCAAATTTTTAGGGACATGAATCTCAAAAAAAGAGAATCCATGATACACTCTTGAATCACTGAAGAGAACTAAAAAGTCACTCAAAAGGTAATATAATATTAACTAGAATGGCTATTGCCAAAAAAAAGAAGACTAGAAAGTCTTGAAACAAGACTAAAGACTAGAAAGGTGTTGACAAGAGTGAAGAAGGCTTCACTCTTAACTCCATACATACTTCTAACTAGGAACTACGTGGCAATATCCTGTAGACCTCTAAAACATGTTGACTTTGTTAGCCACATGACTTAACTTGTAAGGCAAGTTATCTATATATGTGCCATCTAGTTAGCTTGTTCTACAAGCTATCAATAAGTAGTTAACTTGTTGGCCAAGTTTCCAACCTACAAACTCATCTTAAGTCCAAACTACGATAATAAAGCTTCTAAGAAGCTATATTAAAAGACTTTATGAAATTAGTCTATATTTACCTACTTCTACTTAATCATATAAGTAATTATTGAAATAAATGTATATGTCTATGACAGTTGCTCGTTTTTTGTAGATAGATGAATTCCTTTTGCTATGCCACTTTCTACTTCTTTTGCTATCATGGCATTCATTACTTTTGCTACAATTAAAAAGTAGGGAATAAGTAGGCATCATTGTCTCACTTTTTTTTTCTATAGGGAATAGAATTGAAAAGACATTATTAAGTTTATCACAAGCAGATGAACTTCTGAAAATTAACCACACCATATTCATAAATTCTTATAAAAATCAAATCCTTGCATTGTTTGAAATAAATATTTCCATTCTCCTAAGTCATTTGCTTTGAAAAAGTCCAACTTGAAGAAAATGAGAGGTTGTCCCATTTTTTCTACCAAAGCCATAATTTCTATTGTAAGCACTAAGTTATTTAAGATAAATCATTGTAGTAGAAATGCTTATTGATTTGAGCATATAATGTCCATGAAAATAGGATAAATTCTAAATTATAAAGCTTTAGTATAGATTTTGTATTCCATATTGAGTAAAGTAATTGGTCTCTAATTTATTAGTATTCTTCTTATACTATCTTTATATAATAGAATTATTATTATAGTTGTAATTACTTATGAGAAATATCTTGTACTAATGCTTTGTTATACCATTTTGACATAATTCAATCCTATTAATTCTCAAAAAATTACATAAAATTCTAAAGCAATATCATTAGGTCTTTGTGATTTTTCAATTATCATCTCATGTAACGCAGTAGTAAGTTCTTTCAAGATAATAGAAGCTGATAATCTGACCTTATTTTTTGTTGTCATTTAGTCTATGATAGTTCATATCGTTATTATATAATGTGAATTCTTGCTTGAGAATGTACTTAGCACTTAACTATAGAAGGTAGATAGAAAATGTAATTAGAAGATCCTAATAAGTCTAATAGAATCTTAATTAAGTTCTAAATAATTTTTTGTAATTCTAATTAAATTTTAATCTATCTAAAAAAAATTAAAAGAAATTACAAAAAAAAACATAAAGAAATCATAAATTAATTTTTAAAAAATAATAAAAAAATCCTAAAGAAAAAAAAATCTTTTTAAATAAATAAAAATAATCTTAAATAAATATTAAAAATATAATTTTAAAAATAAATAATAAAAAATATTAAATAAATATTAAAAATAAAAAACTTAAATAAATCCTAAATAAATTCTATGTAAATCCTAACCAAATTTTGATGAAATTCGAACAATTCTAAATAAATCCTATACAATCCAAAGAAAATCCTAAGTAAATCTTAATTAATTTCTAAATTTGTTTTAAAATCTCAATAAATATTAATAAAATCCTTGATCTTGACTAAAATTTCACTTACATTTCAAATGACAAACAATTAAAAAATAAAAAAATTTGAGAAGAATTGAACTCATCAATTAAAAAATAAATAAAAATAAAAAAAATAAAAAACTTCCAAAACCTTTTGAATATTGGTTGTTCTTCTACTTCAACTAGAATATTGATCTTCCAATAGCATTTCTTCCTTGTTGAACTATTAAATTGCTTCAAAAATTGGCTTTTGTATAGATTTCTAAGTCTAAATTTCTCTCATCAATTTGAACCTCAACCAAGTTGAAAAATATTGAGAGATTGCAAAATCCCTCAATGACCCTAAATTTCAATTATTCAAGACCATAATCCACAAAACTCTCATAATTTTTAATCTAATCATTTAATTAATGTTAATTTTTTCAAAAACATTTAAGACAAACACAATTACAAATTGACAAAATTTTACCTATAAATATGCTAAAATATTCACAAAATCTTCAAATTTGTGATTTTTTTTTTATTATTTTTCAAAATCCAAATCTTGTGAATACATCACTCACTTTGAAAAACCCTCAAAACCTCAATATGGCTTCAAATCACATGAAATTAATTATCAAAAATTCTTTCATAAGTTTTTTCTCAAACCTTGATCTTCAATCAATAAAAAAAATCCTAGAATTTCCATGTGTGTGTGGTTTTGTGCCTTGGGGTTTGATTTTGACCTTGGTTTACAACTACTCCTCTCTAGGTATCAATTCTTTATATTTTGAGGTGATTTTTGCTAAAACTTATTTTTAACCTCTTCTTCAAAATTTCTATGTCAATTATTTATCTCATTTACCTTGATTTGGCTTACTTATGCTCCTACAAAATTAATAGAAGTCTCTTCTTTAAAAAGATAGTATTAGCATTTATTAATTTTTACTACTTCCTTATCTATTATCTATATTTCTAAGATAAATTGCTAAAATATTTTTATTTAAGCTCCTCTATAATAAAATCTTTTCTTTCTTCTTTTACCATATAGTCATGTTATCACACAACACCAATTGATTACTCCCCCTCATTGACACTATCATCACATGTGGTGTACAAATGGCTATAATACGAATTACAAATGCACTCCATTGTTGCATGGCTGATATGAACTTGTCCAGCCGTATCTTCCAACTAGATTATATTAGATGCATTGGGTTTTTCTTGATGAACTTTGAAAAACTTGTAGGATCAATAATCTCCTACCTGTTTTCAATGGATACGGCTAAGGAGAATCTGCCCATAGACTCTACTTGTTTCAAGTGTTTTCAAACTGTCAACGCATATAGAGAGCTCAACTTGCAGGTTCATGTTCTTATAGGGTGTTTTTATAGGGTAGTCACTGCATTTTCAAGTTGAGTCCGCAACTCCAATTTAGCCTATTTCCTTTCTGATGCCTTGCGTATGCAAAAGGATTTGTAATATTTGATGCACCCTCGAACTTTGCCATAGAATGGAAGGTTACTATGCACTCCCCATATGCGCTCAATTTGCAATTGTATCTTACGTACTGTCAGAAATCTTGTGTTCATCACATATTTGGATGGCCGTGATTGTTCATGTGTCAATTGAATTCTTCTCCATACGAAGAGATGATCAGAATATACACAATCCCCTAGTATATGATTTTCTAAGGGCACTACTCTTTGCCCCCCGATCGGTTGAAACCTGTAAATCCTATCCAACCTCGCCATTGCTCTTATTTTGTTACGTCGACGATTGTCTCAGCAATACCTAACTAGATTGGAGGCTAGGAATCCATCATCAATATGTAATATAGTTTTTAGTGACATAAACAGTCGCTTCTCTTGTTTCATAGGTAGTGAACCGTGTATATTAGATTTATTTGAGCGTGCTTCTATAACGTTCTAGTTGCCGGCTAGAAGCCAGCGACAATCTCTGGGCAAAACGTTAATTAACTCCGTCCACAACTGACAACGTTCGACGGGAGTTAACGACGCATAAATGTTTAGCACATTGATATCCTATCCTGATAAATTGTGGAAGTGTACCCACTAGGTACGATCCAACATAACATGCTCTGATTCGAGTACCAAAGGTGCGATGTCGGGGGCAACCTGCATGCATACTTCCCTGCTACTTGCCCCCTCCTTTGATTGGCTAGTGCGATATGCTACTGCCGCCTCCTGGCTATAAACCTGAAAACAAAGTATTTCGACGCGGGGTATCAGATTTCTGATATACTTGCAAATTATTGCAACTTTCTCCGGAGAATTCATTTCATGGACATTCTGCAAGAGAATGGCAATCTTCATGCTTGTATGGCGGAGGGAGTTCGTTATGTGCTGGAATGTCTCTGTGAGCCGCCCTGGATCTCAACCTGCGTTGTTGGTGTAATTGCCTAGATCGATGTCGTTTAGATATTCCGAGTTGTATGTTGCGACAAGCTATGGTGCGATTGGACAGTCGCACTTCGATGGGTGAGTTGGTAATCGTGTTTTCGATTCCTTGGCCGCGGAGCCATTCATGAAAAAGAAGGGTGAGATGTGCGGCCCTCGTAGTTCATTTGCCTTGGATTCAAAGAATTGCTCCCGATGAATTGCTCCCCATGAATGGAAGGTCTCTTTTGACCTCGTTTCCGCAGCAAACTAGATCAATCTGGGGATTGCGGCAGTAAAGGGTACTGTATTTGTTCCAACAAAAAATGACTTCGATAGTTTGCCTTTGTTAAAGTCGATGTCATGTTATAAATTATTGGTTTCTAGATGTCCTCATGTTTCTATAATTGCTAGTTCCATTCACAGAATTCCTGCCCTAGACCTGGGATCGCTTACTATCTCTTGATTGGTCGACATTGCTCTAGTGGTCCGTGGCACTGTGCTCTCAGTTTAATCTATCCTACACTCATTCGAATTTTTCACTGTTGGATTAGTATCATGCCCTTGCGGTGCAAATTCAGTATCTTCGATAGTGGCACCCCTCACTGTTGGACTGGCTGGTGTTGAAATAATTGTGGCGTGCATGTCGATTGGAGTGATTCTTGTGTCCTCTACCGCATCATTAGTATGTATTTGATGCCTTGGTATAACGTTTGGTGCTCTTCAAATTATACCTGGTGGTCTCTCTTCCTGCACAGCCAAAATGAGATCGGGTAGGAAATCCATACCTCGACATATGTTCTAGTCATTTCTGTCTTCGCAAAATTCATTCACATCCAAGAACTTGCTAGTATTTGGGGACGATTCCCTTCCTTGCCGTGCCTCCCGAGTGCGCCACTGAGCCCAATCCAAATTTACTCCTCAACCTAAGCTCGGTTCCTATGGTTGTATTTGTGTTCAAATAATTCCTCCTTGTGAGGCTATGCCTGAACGAATTAAATAATCAGAGCTGGTAGAAGAATTGGTGTGTACCAGAATTGGAGTCTCTTGTCCTCCTTCTTGTGTATCCCATCTTTCATGATCTATGGGTGTGACCTGCTGTCCTACTCTTGACTGTGTTCCAGGGGGTTCACCTGTGGGCGATGGGTGGGGGGTCGCACCTTCCTTGGAATGTATCGCAGGTGTTGCCTCGTGTTGTCCCTTCCATCGCACCTCCATCGGAGCCTCGCACTCCTTGACTAAGTGCATTGTGGAGAGGCAATACCTGCACCTCATTGATAGATTATTATAATCGACTTTGATAAGGGTCATGTCGGTAGTAATTGGATTAATGGCGCCAATTGTGAGGTCAAAAGGAATCCCAATTTTCGGCTCTACGCGCTCATTCCTAATCATTCTTTCCACCCTTCTTTTTTCTTCTGGCGCCAAGGGCGACATTGGGGCATGCGATAATTGCAACTTCAATGAAGCCGCGTAGGAGGCAGGTGACGCCATCGGAGATTCGTTGGGCTTGTGTGCAAAGAGTGTGGCAATTAAACATTTGCTTACGTGCCGTCTACTGTTGATGCAAAGTTATCTATTTGCTTCAATGAACAAACCCTAAAACCGCCCCACCTTAAGTATATGGCCCCTTCATGACTAATCGCAATGTGCGAGGCAATTCGTAGAGTTATTGCTATTCTACTTGGGATTGGACTTGAGCATTTGCTTAAATCACATTGCGTGCATTTGCCCTAACTCACTTGAACTCTTTGCACAAGTGCAGAGGAGCTCGGGTGAGCTTCATTGCAATGACCAAAGAGGGGATTGTGTTTTCACAAGTTGTGCATAAGCTCTTGGGTACCCATTAAAAAGGTAATAAGAAAAAAAAGAGGAA